CGAGGCAAAGGCCATGACTAGGACACAATAAGCAGCACAGGTCCTGTTAATGCCACCGTAGCAATGGACAAGCACACGAATTGGCCTCTTCTTGCCTCCACGCTTCCGACCACCTCCCTGAAGCTTCATCGCCTCCAACAAAGCAAGAGCATTACCGAGCTCACCAGGGAATGTCTCATCGGCCACCTTCAAGGCACTCTGCCTTCCATCGGCACTCTGCCTTCCATCAGCGGCTCTTCCGAACAGGCTGCCCATGTCACTTCCCTTGCTGAAGCCCTTGTCATAGGAGCAGCCATAGCCAAATGAGCCCTTCGTCGATGCCTTCTGGCTTTGCATGTGATTGGAAACCTGACAGGGGCCGCTGTAGCCCTTGCTGATTGTCTTGCCCTTGCCCCTGCCGCCATTGGCCTTGCCCATCATTTTGCCCTTGATGGCACTCTGCCTTTGACTCTGGCTGAACTCCTCTGCTGAGCGCTGCCAGCACATCATAATCTTTCTGAAATCTGAAATGAGGCGGCGCCAAATGGTCTTGAACTCATGACTTCTTTGTTCAGCATCAAAGTCATTGGCATGTGTTTGATCCCAGCCACCATACCGAAGATGTGCAGTGCCAAACGGTCCACAATTCGCCAAATACTGATACCAGTCCCATGGCTCAAAATTCCGAGGTCTGTCATCTGCATTCATAGAGATGACAATGTCAGGCTTGACCCGGAGCTGGTCATATCGGATCGGGCAACCAATACTGCCAACAAACAGTTGCCACTGGGGATGGTCGTAAATCAAAACATCATCCATGGGCCACGTCTCGACATCATGCTGGCATGGCCGAGGTGGCGGGATCGACCCAGGCAGCACATCTGTCTGGCCGGTCCATGCTTTGTACAACTTCATATCCATATCTCCGAAATCTGAGATGGCCTCAACTGCCAATTTGATTCGTTGATCCAATTGTGCAGCCCTTTGGATCTTTCGGAGCCCGGTGGTATAGTCGGCAGCTGATCTGCCACAGTGTAAACAATTCCACCGAAGTTGTTGCACGGCTTCGTTCCAGTAATCACTGCCAAGGTCAATGTGATTGGCCTGATTCTGATGGTCAGCAGCAGAACTCTGGCACTCTGCCTCGGAACTCCCTGAGCACCTTGAAACGGTCGTCGGCATCACTGCTTTCATCGAGCACACAATTGTCCAACGATTAAAACATTAACAGTGACTAATGCATCACTATACAGTACATTAACCAATGATATGTAACATTGTGTTACTACTGTTACATCAGTATGAATGAATCACTTGATTCCCTGGCCGGCAGATGTCGATCATGTATGGTGCAAGGCAACTCACTGACAGACTATGCAGGCAGGCAGGCAGGCAGCCAGCCTCGGAGACAGCAGGGTCCTGAGGACATCACTGCCACCCGGCACTGTGTAGTCAGCATGTCATGCTGGGTAACCTTTTTGAATCCAAGTTGCGCACACTACCGCTGAGGTCTCAAATCGGACAGTCTAGCTCTGCTGGCGAGATCGTCGAATTCAAAATCCTCTAAGCACACGCAAACCCGGCACTCTGCCTTCCCCAACATCCGTAATACGGTCTCGGAGGCTGTACAAACACGACAAATCATTGATTCAGTGACGACACAAATTCGTCTGACACATTGTAATGTAAAATTCCTGGCACTCTGCCTTGCCGCACAAATCTCGGAACGAGTACGCACAGGATCATGTCATTGATATGCCAGTCTACTTGCAAGACTTGCCCACGCTCTTCAGAATTCAGAAACATCCACAATGTCGAAAAGGACTCCTCTAGCAGCTCGTCGAAATAAATCACATAATCATCGTCGTCAAAACTGTCCGCGACCGAGCCCACAAACGAACCCCCAAACGCCGCAGTGCTTGCAAACTCGCCAACAGCCAATAAGTCCGAGACCGAGCCCAGAGACTCACTGTCACTCCACGACATCGACCACATCTGCCGGCTTGCACGGAGGCCTACTACGACTTAGACTAGAGACAGAGCAGGTCGTCGGGATCACTGCTTTCATCGAGCACACTTCAATTGTCCAAAGATTAAAACATTAACAGTGACTAATGCATCACTATACAGTACATTAATCAATGATATGTAACATTGTGTTACTACTGTTACATCAGTATGAATGAATCACTTGATTCCCTGGCCGGCAGACAGATGTCGATCATGTATGGTGCAAGGCAACTCACTGACAGACTATGCAGGCAGGCAGGCAGGCAGCCAGCCTCGGAGACAGCAGGGTCCTGAGGACATCACTGCCACCCGGCACTGTGTAGTCAGCATGTCATGCTGGGTAACCGTTTTGAATCCAAGTTGCGCACACTACCGCTGAGGTCTCAAATCGGACAGTCTAGCTCTGCTGGCGAGATCGTCGAATTCAAAATCCTCTAAACACACGCAAACCCGGCACTCTGCCTTCCCCAACATCCGTAATACGGTCTCGGAGGCTGTACAAACACGACAAATCATTGAAGCAGTAACGCCAGAAATTCGTCTGACACATTGTAATATAAAATTCCTGGCACTCTGCCTTGCCGAAAATCCCGCCGAAGTCTCGGAAAGAGTGTGAACATGATCTGCTCATTGACAGACCAGGCTACTTGCAAGACTTGCCCACGCTCTTGAGAATTCAGAAACATCCAGAATGTCGTAAAGCACTCCTCTAGCATCGTGTCGAACGGAATCACAGAATCATCGTCGTCAAAACTGTCCGCGACCGAGCCCGCAGTGCTTGCACCCTCATCGTCAACCAGAACCCAGTCCGAGCCCACAGACTCACTGTCACTCCACGACGTCGACGACATCTGCCGGCTTGCAGGGGGGCCTACTACGACTTAGACTTGAGACAGAGCAGCTGTAACACGACTATAGTAGATTACGCAGGGCAACAGCGAGCACAACTGCTGCAGCGGCAAGTTGCGATACATGACACGCTCACTGACTATGCAAGGCAGCTTGTCCTCTGCGATGGCAGCATGTCCTCGGGATCCTCGTCATGAGCCTCGGTGCCAGGACTGTACCATAATAATGGAAGTAGCTGAAGCAAGCTGATGCTGAGATCCCAGCAGTTGGCATCCACTTCTCGATGGGCTGGAAGCCGATGAAGACCGATGGGAGAGAAGGAAATGGAAGAGAAGGCGTTCACTAGGCTTGGATTCAAACCGAACACTTAGACCTGGCCAACGGTGTGGGGAGCAACCCCGATGGGGCAGGGACTTAAGTAAGGCAACCTCGAGAGGCTCGACTGGCACTCTGCCTCTGTCGATCCAAGTCGCAAGGCTCCCTAACTAACGTGACAAGCATGGATGGCCTCCCCTCCTGGTTGGGAGAAAAATAAAAAAGCCACAACCACTGGACCACCCCACCCAGCACTTTAGCCCATGTGCCCGGGTGTCATATGCCACTGCCCTGGCACGTTGGCCCCAAGGCGGTCCAGGTACCATCGACAACACCTGACACCCGGCCAACGGTGTCCACGAACCGAGATGGGCAGTCGATCCGTGTGGGTAAGGTGGCACTCTGCCTCTGTCGCTCCAAGTCGCAAGGCTCACTAACGTGACAAGCATGGATGGCCTCCCCTTCAGGGCTGTAAGCAGATTGCGAACAACACCCACTGGACCACCCCACCCGGCACTTTAGCCCATGTGCCCGGGTGTCATATGCCACTGCCCTGGCACGTTGGCCCCAAGGCGGTCCAGGTACCATCGACTCAACACCTGACACCCGGCCAACGGTGCCCACGAACCGAGAAGGGCAGTCGATCCGCGTGGGTAAGGGCAAGATCTCAAGGCAAGTCAACATGTCACTACGGCCTCCCTTCTTTGTTCAATCACAACCCAAAACTATTTAAAAAGATTAAATATTAAAAATTATTAACTTCAACAACAAATAAACAACAATTTTGTAGACATACAGCAGCAGGAAACCAGGTAGAACAACAGGAAGCCAATTGACTCACTCAGAAACAAAATTCACAAACATGTATTTTTTACACCAAAAATAAAATAAAAGAATTTTAACAACTGTAAAACACAAAAAAACCTATTTAAAAAACTTTTAAATACAAAACAATACTTTTAAATACAAAAAAACACTTTTAAACACAAATAAAGCCAACCACATACAAAAATGAGATTTTGGGTTCCTTTCATATAAGCCTTGTTGATCTAAACCCTGTGGTTCTGGTTCGGCGCAAAGGGTTAAGGATACAGAAGAGCGCAGCGCTACACATATTTGAGCAATCAAACCAGCGCTGCGCGAACTATACATTGCCTCACTTTACAACGAGATTCACGCTTAAGGGTTTCCGTTTCAAGGTTGACGATCTATCAACATGGGTCTGCTGTCTTGCTTCAGGTTCTGGGCTCTTTGCTTGCATCTCAAGAGCAGCAAGCATCTTGTTCTCGTTGCCAACGTCCTGGAGACCTCCAGCTCTGGGGTTTAGGATTCGGAGTTCAGGGCCATCGGGGCAAAAGCCAGCAGTCTCGATGGATTGAGCCGAAACATCCACGCATAACAGGTTTCTTCTGGAAATTTGTCAGACTCGTCTCTACACTCGAAGAATGTCCTTTTCTAAGTAGATTTGAGTTTTATTATCCTGATTTGATTAAAATGCTAAGTCAGGCTAAGTCCAGCTAAGTATTTGTGTGACATGCTCTAAGTACTTATAAGTCCTGCTACCTACTTATATCTACCCACGTTTTCCCATACACTTATAAGTCCAGATTGGACTTAGTGCATACTTACAAGTAGCATACAACTACTTGCACTGAACTTATAGGGGCTCTCCTAGTAAAGCCTCCTGGTCATCTTGGAGCAAGCGTTGTTCTTTTGTAGGTACAGCTGCGCCACCGCCTTTGCCTTTTTTCAGCTCTCTGGCTTTTGTCCTATGAGCTTGTTGCAATACCTCGTTGTTTGCAAGACGGCCTTTATGACTCAGCATGTGTCGCTTCAGCGACTGGCAATCATATGCTTCTGGAAAAAGCAGCTGCGTCATCATGCTTCATGTCGACGACATCCGTCATAGATTTTGTCGTGGAGACCTTTGGTGAAAAGACGTCGGTTAGACCCAACCTGGGCAGCGTCAGAGAGCTCTTGTGCATGAGCTTATGCGCAGCCAATGCATGCAGAACGTCATCTACATCTTGACGACTGAATGCAGTCCACGCGTGCTTGCCTTTAACACTTCGTAATTGTCCGCGCGTACAGAAATCCTTTTTCACCTGGATCATCCAACTGGCAATCTCATCTCGTTGCTTGCGTAAAACTGCAAGAACCTCCTCTGATACAGCTGGCGGTTGACCTTCTGTCTTGGAAGTATCAACATCATGCGCAGGATCTTCTGGCTTCGACGTGTGCTTCAGTCCACACGCCTGCCTGACACACAACTCTGTCAAGCCTTCGTCCTTGCCTCCGACAACGTACTCGTCAAGGCATTTTCTGCAGTCCGCAGCGTTATGGTCTCGGGCATACTGCCACAGTGCTCGCAAAGTTACAAGACAAGCCGGGCTCGATCGCAGAAAATCTTTCAGGGTTGGATCTTTTGGGAAAATGCCTCGCTCCTCTGGCTGTTGTATCTTGCTCAATATGTAGTCGGAGTCCAAGAAAGATGCTTTGTAACGAACAAGCAGCGATCGTCGGAACAAAGAATTGAACGTTTCCTCGTCGACGCCGAAAAACCTAAGCAAGCGAGGTTCTCTGCACATACGTACTCCACGGTCTCAACAGAAAACATTCTCACTTGCAGGCAAGCGGCTTAGGTAGCTGGTTGAATTCGAATCGCTTCCAGCCACGAAGTTCTAGCAAGTGCGTCTCTATAGCATAAGGCAATCTCTCTGGAAGTTTGTCTGCCGATATATGTTTCTTGTAGACATCTTCACGCATGGTTCTACGGCTGCCCTGCACCGATTCTTGGCCAGTAACAACGAGTTTGCCCAACAAAGAAGCAGCTTGTTTACGCATTTCCTCGTCTGAATAGTAGATATTCATTTCCAGGCATGCGTGAAAACTGCCTAAAATTGCTTCCATGTGCGCGGTCTGCAGGCTTTGACCAACCCCACCAGATCCAATTCCCCAGAACGCACGATCGACGTTTTCTCCTTGTGTAGCGAGCGTCAGTGCTGACATGAAGCATCCGAAAGCCGCGTGATTATTCCAATACGTTGTCTTCCAGAAATTACTGAGTCGACTTTTGACATCATCCGACACGGGATTCAGCAACCGATGCGGAAGGAAAACGTAAACGTTGTTTGAGCCCGTCTTCTGCACCTGCTTCAAGCCTCTGTCTTCATCAAACAGAAGACACACATCTCGAGTACAAACCCCAGGCCTGCGAGGATCGTCAATTCCACACCATTCGACGTAATATTTGATCAAATGGTCATGTAGCAACGAGCTTTGCCTTGCGACCAGATATCACTCCATCTGCACATTTTTATCTAAGCCAACACGAATTACATTAACTCACACTAACCAAAACAGCTTGCAGCCAGGACGCAATTTCACATACAGCTTGCCCACAGTACTAGCCATAACCTGCGTCCATGGCTTGTTGTCATCCTGTTCCCCTGCTGCATCGACCTCATCATCTTGTGCAATTGCCGCTGTTCTGCGCTTCTTGTTGACGATGGGGCTGCCGCAAATCGCTGCTTTCTCACATTCTTGAAGCAAGAATTCTGCACTGTTGTTTCTTGAATGCAGCAAGAGCGACACTGCGTTGATGATGGATTCTGGTGTGCGGAGTGTATCGGTCGGCAGCAGTCTATATAAACCTTCAAGGAAGAGCAGAAACTTCTTGCATCGAGCCAGAACTCCTTGAGGAATTACACCGTTGTTGGCCGCCGTGAGCTCGCTCATGCCGCGAGCTTCCTTCAATGAGCTCGAGAAAGAAAACTTCCTCTCTACGAGAAATGTCCAGCAAGCGCAGTCGATGCACACAGATTGCTCCTTGCACAACATGCTGTAAGCTTTTGTGCCACAATGACGAGTGGCCATGCTGAGCCACCATTGCTCGATCGTCTTCTATCTCACGCAGGATGCTACCTTCCTCAGACTGCGGAAGATCTGAGAAAGCATCACACAGCAATGAAGTCTCGTCAACGCGCAGGATCTTCAAAATATCATCACCCGAACCTTGCGAACTGACTTTGCAGCGCTTGGGCAAGGGAAGCTCCATATCCTGCATCTCTGCTTCGACCTGCTGCGAGAATGTTATGTCATCACAATCGTTTCGATTTTTTCTGCTGCTCCTCCAACACAATCCGCTCCTGTTTGAGCAACTCTGTCTTGTAAGCACCGCCGCTCCTCTGGCTGGTGAATCTTGCTCAATATGTAGTCGCGGTCCAAGCGCGATGCTTTGTAACGCACAACCAGCGATCGTGGGAACAAAGAACTGACTGTTTCCTGGTCGACGCCAACAAACCTAAGCAGACGAGGTTCTTTGCACATTCGTACTCCACGGTCTCAACAGAAAACATTCTCACTTGCAGGCAAGCGGCTTGGGTAGCTGGTTGAATTCGAATCGCTTCCAGCCACGAAGTTCAACCAAGTGCGTCTGTATAGCATAGGGCAATCTCTCTGGAAGTTTGTCTGCACATTGGCCGCCGTGAGCTCGCACATGCCGCGAGCTTCCTTCAATGAGCTCGAGAAAGAAAACTTCCTCTCTACGAGAGATGTCCAGCAAGCGCAGTCGATGCACACAGATTGCTCCTTGCACAACATGCTGTAAGCTTTTGTGCCACAATGACGAGTGGCCATGCTGAGCCACCATTGCTCGATCGTCTTCTATCTCACGCAGGATGCTACCTTCCTCAGACTGCGGAAGATCTGAGAAAGCATCACACAGCAATGAAGTCTCGTCAACGCGCAGGATCTTCAAAATATCATCACCCGAACCTTGCGAACTGACTTTGCAGCGCTTGGGCAAGGGAAGCTCCATATCCTGCATCTCTGCTTCGACCTGCTGCGAGAATGTTATGTCATCACAATTGTTTCGATTTTTTTCTGCTGCTTCTCCAACACAATCCGCTCCTGTTTGAGCAACTCTGTCTTGTAAGCACCGCCGCTCCTCTGGCTGGTGTATCTTGCTCAATACAGGGTGGTGCCCCCAAGTTATAACTAAGTTATGATAGTTATAACTAAGTTATACAAGTTATAAGTTAAGTTATGTTAAACTTATAACTTAACTTATAAGTAAGTTATAACTTAAGTTATAACTTATGGGTGTTTATTTTCATAAGGTTTTCGGTATCAGTTTCCTGGACTCAAAAAAGTATTTGAAAACGAAATCGGAGTGTTTTTTGCTTCGCTGCGCATGCGTTTCCAGGTCTTTGGTGAGATTTCATTTCTAAATGACACGAATCAGTGTCAGGGTATGCACAGGAAACTGTCATTCTCGCGGCAATGCCACGTTGGCGTGGCAGGCTGGTACAGGTCGCTCCAGAGAACGAAGCGCTTTGGGCCATCTTTATTGAAGATGAGATGTGCTTCATCTTTCCAACTCAGAAGCAAAGGTTGGAAGCAGACATGCAAATCGCCTCGAGGGTCGCGGTAAAAGGAGTCACAGAGGCCGGATTGCTGGTATTCCCTGCCTGCAAGCAAGATATCGTCGCGGCTAATATCCAAAAGGCCGATTCGCAAACGCCGGTAGCAGATCCCTCCGACAGGCAGACGCACTGGCGGCAGCTCGTTCTCCTTGAGCTGGTCCAGAATCTCCCATTTCCCGTACAACAGCAAGGGCTCGTCTGCAGCTTGTGTGCAATGCTTGAGAAGCAGTCGTGGCATCGAGCGCAATCCGTGCTCCGAGCCGCCGTTGCTGCTGGTCAAAAACTGCTGCACGCAGCTTGCCAGCTGGCCTTTGTACAGCTTGTGCTTCGCTTCGGTTGCATAGCAGGATAAGACCATGCCGCTGGCCTCATAATGCTTTGGCAGGTGCATTCGGTGGTGATGCTTGGGTTTCTCATGTCCCGCATGTGCCAGCATGAAGGCCCTCATGTGGGATTGCTGCACATCGTCGAGCTTCGACCAATGTTTAGTTTGGTTTACTCTCAGCAGTGCATCCCGGCAACGGCACAGCTGCAAAAAGCTCGCCGTGACCGTTCGCAATCCTTCTGTGCGGTGCCATTGCAGTTGGATGGCATACCAGCGAAACAAAACCACGAGGGCTTGCGTTTCGCTCGCACTACCCTTGTAAACTTCGCCAGCAAAGAACTTCTCCCTGAAAAGCCGCTGCACCCAGCTTCTGGTTTCTCCGTGCTTTCGGCGAACAGCGGGTCGACTCCAGCCAGCTTCAAGCACCGCCTTTTCCAGGTCCTTGAGAGACATTCCCGTGACTTCGTTTACTTTGTTCCAGATCAGAATCAACTCCTGGCTAGCGATACCGTCTGCAAAGTAAGCGTGCATGCTATCATTCATGATCATGTCCAAGCGCAGCAAGCGCCGGCTGAGCGGGCAGGACCAAATGCTGCAGGACCTCAAGCGAAAGCCAGAGCAGGTTTCGCGCATGGCGACGTCTGCTTTTGACAGGCGTGGCACAAGATGCAGACTATCCTGCATGAACTGCACCACGTCGTCTTGTCTGTTGAGCACGAAGTTCCTGGGGTTGCTTTCGCTCACAGGCACGAAGCGGTCGTCTTCTGCCGGTGCTTCCGTCCGCTTCGAAACAACATTCTGGCACAGGAAGCAAGGTCGCAAACCAGCGCTGCCCTTGGCATCAAAGGATAGCCGTAGTGCATCAAAGTCAGAAACCCAACCGGTCAACTCTAGCCGGCAGTGGTGCGGTCCGCACTGCCAGCTCGTCGAGAGGCTTTGTCGATGCCACTCTCGGAGCCAGCCAACAGTGAGGCGGGCGGTTCCTCCTAGGATGTTGTGGATTTGATCTCTGCTCGCGCAGGAGATGGGGAACCAGGCTATTTGCGACTGCACAGCATCCCCGTATTGCTTGAAAGTCAAGTAAAGCAAAGTCAGTTTCTGCCTGGCCTCGGTCGCCAGCACGTTTCCTGCTGTGCATTCGTCTTGGCAGAAATAAACTTGCAAGGCTTCGTCACGAAGCTCAGCTCTTGCGATGACTTGGCCGATGCAGGGGCACTTGGCCACACACAGCCGAAGCATTTCTTTCACATCGGCAAAAACGCACACCACATCATCCTCGCCGGCAGTTGCTGCCGGCAACTGGATTGTAGTGTATGCTCGACGAAAGGGTGCGAGGATTTGCGCGGTCTTTCGCTTCCATGCACCACTTCGCTGTTTGGGCCGGCTTGGGCTGTCGTCGGCTGCCTGGTCGAGAGCCCGAGCGCGCCAAAGACTGGTTTCGCTCTGGCGGCCCAAGGCAGCTTCCAAATGGGATCGCTTCGGCATCCCATGCAAGTTCACGGGCTTCGGAAAGAAAAAGAACAGCTGCAAGCATGTATTGTCATCCTGTTGCACTTGCCAAAGCCAAAACGGCTGCGAGGACAGCTAGAAGCAGCGAAGGTGGTGCGGTGTTTCTGACTGGGCAGTGTTCCTTACTGTGAACCTCTTTTGTCGCGAGTCGCTGCAATTGCGATGGGGCGGCATGCTTGCAGAAGAGATCCCCTGCCCACTCCACATCCTCAGCGGTTTTAATTAAATGCAGTTTGAATTATATGTCGGATCTACATGTCTAGATCGGATGAAACAGCTTGGGCTATGGGTGCACCCTCATCTGAAGCGGTCTTTCTTGCGTTACGGTCCTGGGAACAAGGCAAGTCTCTGCCTATAACTCTGCGGCTCTTGCGCCCGGCCTTCTTCTTCGTCTTGTGTGTCCTGCAAGCAAGCAGTTGGGATGTGCTTTAAGATACTTTGCAACATGTTGGCAGCAGCGGCCTTGGGGAGAGGTCGCAGCTGCAGTCCTTGGACATGCAGTTGCTTTCCATCACACTTCGCCTGCAACGGTGCGGACATGCTTCATTGTGGAAGGGAGGCCTGTTCAAGCACTGCACCTGTCCAGGTAAGGCTGCACAGCGTTGAGGTAGCATGACAAACATGCCCTTTCACTTTTCAGGGATTCCAAAAAAACAACGTAGGCTGCCCTCTCGCACATCGCGAGTGCGCGGTGTTTGCTTTGAGCCAAGACACTCCAGGTGCGCCTCCTGTTATATATGCTGCTTGCCCTTGCTGGCTGTCAAGCAAGATTTTTTTCCTTTCGTGCGGGGAAAACGAGCGTGTTCGGGTCTCGTGTTAGCACACGACGTGACACCTGTGCTTGAATTATGCGAGGGAACTAAAATTAATTAGGGCCTCTCGGCCGGCTCCAACCTCCATGAAGCGAGGAAGGTAACCAAGCATGCAGTTCAGAAAAGCACTTCACTTGGTCTTGCGTGCCCTCTTCGGGGCTGCAGCCTTAGCGTCGGCGGCCTGTCGCTTCAAGTCCTGCAAACTTTTGGCGACACAGGCAGCGTCCTTCACGACCTGCTGCAAGTCCAAGGGCGTCTGGAAAGACAAGGGCTCTGGGCCAGTCCAGGTGTTCTCGCCCTGGGCAGCGGCACCAAGCAGAGCGTTGGCGTCCTTTTCGTAGCTGGTAAGGAGCGGCAAGACCTCCTGGAGCTGCTCCTGAACGCAGCTCTGCAAGCCAGCCAAAGCTTGCTCGCCGAGTTTCTCCATGAGGTTCTCCAGGCGAGTTTTGCTGCTTCGCAAGTTGGGCAGGAGCTTTCCAACCGCAGCAACCAGAACCTTGAAGTCTTTCTTGGCTTGGCGAAGCTTTTCACGTTCTGCTTTCTTCGCTGCGGCCTTCGCTGCCTTGTCGGGGTTTTGCTTGGCAGCCTTCGTGGTGGTCTCTGCCTCTTCGTCGGACTCCAACCCCTCGAACTCCTGTGCCAAGTCGCACAACGCCAGCTGGGCCGCCCCCGCACCAGCCAGAGCTTTGCGAGGTGCTTCTCCTTCCAGCTTCTTGCGTTTCATGGCAGTCTCTAAGCTGCACAGCTTGGTTTCACACTCCTCCACCGTCTTCTCCTTGGTCTGGCTTTCGAAGTTGACCTTGTAGGTTTTGCCGAAGACCGGGTGGTCTTTGGCTTCGCACGTCGCCTCAATCTTGTCAAGCTCATCCTTACTGAGACCTTTGGCTGCGTACATGGTGAGTGGCAGGAACGTGCCGCTCTCCGACTCCTTGTATCTCTTGGTGGACGTCAGCACCATGCAATCCTTGAGGATGCCGCGGGTCTTCTGGTAACTCAAGCGCTCTCCCTTGGAGCGGGTGTCCTTGGCAGTCTGGAAGAACTTTTCCAACTCCTCCTCCTCCAGAAGCTGGTCTGGATTGAGGCCGTTGCGATTCAACGTCGTCATGGTGGCGTTGCAATCCTTGCAGCAGATTCTGTTGGCGCTTCGCACAACCATCTCTGTCTTGGGATGGTTCTTGCGGCAGCGGTAGCAGCAGAAGGCGTGGTCTGCGGCTTGAGCTTGGGTCGCAACAGCCGTCTCCAACAGTTGGGTCTCTATCTCGTCGGGAGAAGGAGTCCCAAGCACTGGAACGCCTTCGGCAGCAGTGCTCTTCTGAATTGCTGCATCCACGACAGCTGCCATGCTTCAGCACCAAAAGCAACGCGGGAGCAAGAACAAGTCTAACAAAACTCACTAGTTGGAGCCAAACGACAGCACCAGAGCACCTCGTCCGAGCAACCACGCAATGTACATATGTATCGTGGCCCCTGTGTTACGATACATATGTCCTGGATATATTTTTTAAGAAAATGATACCCGAACATACGTATCGCGAGCCCCTGTTACACGATACATACGTTACAGGAACAGCACGCGATCCAAAACAACAACACGCAACATCCACGATACATCCGCTCTGGAAGCAAGGAACCCGTACATTATACATATGTATCGCTGACCGGCGGCTCACGATACATACGTTCGGGATGGAATTTTGTAAAAAAGATATCCGAACATTCGTATCGCTAGAACCCCTCATCACGATACATATGTTACGGGAGTCTCCACCAAACAAACAACAACAACACGCAACATCCACGATACAACAACACGGCTTGATGCCTGCCTGGACATGCTTATCGTTCCTATCGGCCTGCGACCAACTAGCTTTTTTTCCTTCAAGCACGTCCGAAAGAAGTCGAGACACTGTGAATTTAATCTACACGAAGCCCAGGCCCCGTGGAGATGGTGCTTCTAAGATTTAAGGCTTGGATACACAGGGTTTAAGTTCTAAGAACTATTAAAGTTACAGGGCTTAGGGATTTAAAAACCAAGCACCATCTCAACCCGGACCGGGTCTTCACAAGCGGGTGGAGGAGCTGCTGCTTCCACCCAAAACTCTGTCTGCCACATCAGCAAACAGATCTCGCAGCAGCTGATACTTCAGGTTATTATCCTCTGCCTCGCTCTTGGTGGCCGCAACACCCTGGGGCATCGAAGCTTGGCCGCCACTTTTGGGAGGCAAGGCAGCTTCCGGCTCCCTCTCCACTGGCTCCTCCTTGACTGTCTGCAGCTTGGAGCTCGGCGGCTTCTGGCCCGACCTCCTTGGCGGATCCTTTGGCTCAGCAGGGCGCCTGTCATCCCGAAGCTCCGAGCGAGACCGGAGGCGGATCCCGAGTGCATCGAGCTTCCAGAGCTGGCGGGCTGCCGCTTTCGCCTGCTCTTCCTCCACGCCATGCTTCGCTTGCAGATGCTGAACAGCGGCCCAGGGCTCTTTGAGGGACTTGCGGCACATGTGAGTCCCGTAGAGAGGGCACCACTGCGGCCCCATGTGGGTGCAGTGTTCCACTTCCTCCGCCGTCAGCAAGCCCCAAAGCAGCCTAAGCTTCCGGGGAGGCGGGCTGTCACGCTCCTCCTCGTGCCTTCCCCGCTCTTCGCTGCTGTGCTTCTTGTAGCGCTTCTTGTCCTTCTTCTTTTCTTTCTTCTCACGCTTGCGGCTCTTCTCCACCTCCCTTTCCTCCGCTTCTGTTTCCTCCGCCGGCTCCTGCACGTCGAACGGACTCTTCTTCGAAGGCGCCTCCGACACCGCGGGCTTCGGGCCCCACTCTCCCGGAGGTTTCTCCTCAGAGGCTTCGTGCTCCGAAGAGCTTCTCTCGCGCCGCTTCCTGCCTGCGGAAGGGGAGCGCCTTGTCTCTTTGGAGTGGGAGGAGCTGTCGCTTCGCTGAGACTCGCTCCTGGTCCTGGTCGCCGTGCCTGTTCCCGCCGGAGAAGTCGAGGGATCAGCCGCTCCAGGCATCGCCACTCTCTCCCAGTTTGGCGAAGACCTGCAACAGGGGAGATTCCATAAGGCTAAGGCTTTAATTTTGGGGTTAGAGGGCTCAAGGGATTGAAAAGCTCTTCACAGAAAGCAAACATCTACACGAAGGCCGAGCTTGACCGCCGCCGCCCCCGCGAGGGGGAGGAGGAAGCCAAGCTGCGACCGGAACGAGCGCCGCCGCCGCCGCCCTGGTAGGCGGAGGAGGAGACGCTGCATTCCAACAAACAACCAAAGCAAAAAACTTTCGAACTCAACTCTTATCAAACCCCTGGCTAGAGACGCACCTCTCGTCCGCCATCGATGCCCGCGGTGCTTCTTCCTTGCCGTCTTGAGCCGAAGCAAAGCTGCGGAACACAGGCTTGTCTGGCGTGCGACTGACCCACACTGCAAGCATCTCGACCACACGCGAAAATAAGAGAGGTTCTTTTTGATTCCACATCGGCATCTCTATCCCAGTCGCCGCAACAGACCGGTGTGTCCTAGAAACAAAAGACGTTCTCTGCTGGTGCGCACGGCGTTTCTTGTTAAGGCAACCCACACCCGCCGCTCAAAGCGACGCTTCCAGAGCTTCAGTCGTTCCTCTCTGGGTGCTTTCCTCGCAATGGCTTCCTGGTAACTCTTTCGAGACTCCTCAAGCCTTTTCAAAAGTCGTTTCAAAAGCTTCTTGCCTGCAAATATTTTTGCAGCCACACACCGAACTCGATGAGCCACATACCAGGTCCTCAAAGCAAACCTTGAAGGTTCCACTTTGGCCCGGACACCGGGCCTGATCGCGGGAGCATCCTGCCGAATCTTTCTGTTTCTGCTGCCCGTGGACGACATCTGCAGAGGCCGTTTGCGGGTACCCTAAATCTGCAAGCTACGAGCCGAAACGAAAGATAACATCAACCCTACCTCATGGCATTTAATGTGCCGTCCTGTCCCCCCCTACAATGAAACAAAAAACTTTAAAGCACTGCACGTATGTTACAGGAATGCACTCCCAGGCTTCCCAAGCAAACCCTTTCTGCTCGCGATGCTGTCACATCCAGCCAGTGCTGCGCCCTTGCGCAGGTTTTGGGAATCTGCAGGCCTGCAGCTTCCTCCTTAAAAGCGGCTCCACGGCTCTGTGCCGGCCAAATCAAGGGAAAAACAATTTACACGATGTCACCTCCTTTGCATTCTCTAGCAGGCGGTGCGGTGCGCAATGCGAGCACGTTCCTTGGCTTCTTCCTTAGACAAGCCCAACTTCAGAGCTGCTCCCAACTCCTTGTGGTAAGCACGAGATCGAATGCACTTGGCTGTCATCTTCAGTACCCGGGGGCCCGCTGCGGCGGCTGCAGGCCTGGCCATGCAGCAGCTCGGCTTGCGCTGCACGCCGGCTTTAGCTTTGCCTTTGCTCTTTGCCGCTGCCTTGCTCTTGGCCGTGGCTTTCGCTTTTGCTTTCGCGCTTGCTTTCGCCGCAACTGGCGCAGTCTTCGCAGCTGCGTCTCCATGGGTCGCGGCGGAGACAGGCTGCGCAAACGACTCTCGGGCTGCTGGCTTCTTCAAAACGGGGGCTGGCGATCCTTCATCTTTAACTTCCCAGACAGACGGCAGTCGCAGCAAGTCGGGCACTTGCTGCAGCGCTGGCTTCTTTGCAACCGGCCCGTCCTTGGCAGCTGGCCTTTTCAAGGGACTCTTCGCAACCGCGGCGGCTGCAGGCCTGCGCAGCACCGAGTCCGCTGCAGGAGCTGCAGAACTCCTCGACCTTGTCTCCCGATCCATTGCCGCAGCTGGCCTTCGCAACACTGGTGTTTTTGCCGCTGCCGGGCTTGCGGCGTCGGTTTGTTTCCCCTTGACACGCCTTCTGCCGCTAGACTGCCCCGCCCCGTCACGAAAGTAAGACCAAGGCGACCGAAGCTCTTTGCCGTAGTGCACAGCAGCCAGTCCCTTGACACTTTCCTTCAACTTCGACGGCAAGTGACCGAGGGGACTGCCCTTGCTCAAGCGCTCAGGCGGGGTGCTGCCGCCTGTGTCTGCAGGGAGGCCTTGTGAACCGGAAGCGGCTCTTGCGGGGGTTCTCTCCACCTCCGGCGCCGGCGGCTGGACCGCTGATGCAGCCTCTGACAGTTCCTGCTGTGCCGCTGGCGGGGCTGCCTCTTGCGGCGGCGCAGGCGGTAAAGACAGCAACGCACCGTGCCCACTCTGCTGCGATTCTCCTAAGCTTTGTGTCGATGACAAAGCAAGCACTCTCGAAGCCCCGTTGCCCTGCGAGCCACTGCCTCCC